AAAACATCATATCCTTAATTGTTTTTGTAAGTGTGATCCTACCTGTTAATAAAAAAAAAAAAAACTAAGCTTATAACACTCCCTAATTGCTGCTATTCTCTAATTAAGCACCTGGACAACTTATTAATTCTTAAAGAGGTTATCAGGTATTTATCAAAGGAAATGCAAAAGCCCAAATTAGGCAAATAAATAAATAAATACATAAATAAAATCATGCATTATAATTTCAGCTGCATTAAAATTTCTCTAATTCAGGATTGATGTAAAAGAGATGAGAAAGTTTCACAAGTTGAGGGTTGTTTCTACCATCCTATTTACTACTTAACATGATAGCTGTTCCAGTATATATAAAACAGCTTCTATTTTGCAAATCACCCTTTCAGATTACTCTATCACCTCCTTAAACTGACAGCATCTTTCTAGATTTAGAGAAATTATCGAAACTTATTAAGGGCTCCATGTTTTTCCCAAGCTATGTGAGGACAGTACAAAAATATATACATATTAGCAAAAAACATTTGCTTGACTACAAAAATGTAACTGTGCAAAATGTAAGAGTATTCTTTTGTGTATTATGGTAGTGCATTCTGAAAACAAACTGACATCTTGGTTTATTTTACTTACACAATAAGTTTAATTTACATAGAAATGATAGAGTATTTCAGGAGAAAGTCTTAAAAACAATTTCTGCTGAATGACTGCTATAATAATCTTCTTACGAAAGAAATAAACATAAACTAAGACGGCAGTTCTGAACAGATATAGTAGCTCTCAGCTAAAGACAAAACTCGATATTCAGTAGGAAAACACTAAAAAAAAAAAACAGAAGGAGTTTTCATTTAGGTTTCTGGTTGAAGTCAAAATCTGTTTCCTTAAAACTTCGATCTTAACCATATCAAAAGCTGTTTATTAAGGCTGGCTCTAAGACAAAAAAATTCAAATTTGCACTATTATCTGAATCGTCCCTTTATGACCATGGATGAAAAGAGAACATTTTCAGAGCTTTTATGTCCAGGATTTGGTGAGATGTTTTCGCTTAATGGACCTACAGATCTTAAAGGCAAATGTGAAGTACTAAGTTAAATTTAAATACAAAGGTCTATTTGTCTTCTAGGAATTGTGGGTAGTTATACAAGAACACACATTTCTAAATGATGAAAGTCTGAAGTTTGATTACCAAGGTTAAAATTTTCTAACTGAATATGCCATAAGTCTATTTTCTCTAATAATTGTAATTGACAAAGCCTTAATAGTTTGCAACTTCCAGAACTTAAACGTCAATTGAAATAAAAAGAATTAAAATCATTTAGATTTACAAACAAATCATCATTATCATTTTCTTTTCTTCCAGTAAGCAAATATATATTTTTATGTTTGAATCCTAATATTAAGAAATTATCTAAAATGCACGAATACAAAATTTACACTAACAGTTTACAGATATGTATCGTACTCATCTATTATTCAAACAATGAGAAAGTCCCTCTTAAACTTTAAATTGCTTGAAACCATGCATAGAAAGTATAATCCACAGTCATAAGTAGCCTAAGAGAAATACAGGAAACTCATACCTGCCATCTACTTTATTAATGTTTTTCTCACTTTTCTTTAGTCTTTCTCATTTATTTTTAATTTAAATCTTGACAAATTGCATTCATCTGTAAAGACAAGTTAAATCACTTGTTTGCATAAGACAAAACAAAGAAGAAAAAAAGAACAGGAAAAAAGGAAACAGAAGGGAAAAAAAGATGGTGGCAGAGATGAAGGAAGACTTCGTAAAGGAGGAGACATCTGAGTCAAACCAAGAAGGCAAGTAGAGAGCTGGTATTACAACAAGGGAGGAAGGGGCATTTTCAAGGGGAGAAAACAGTAAAGATAAAAATACAAGGTGTGAATAAAGAACAGTAAATTGTTCAATTTCACTTGATGGTATGGCTCAGCAGTGGAAATTAAGGAATATGAATAAAACACAGGTCCACGGACATGTTAAATCTCACTATAATGAACTCCAAACAAATGAATTCACTACAGTAAAAACTGTGTCATTATTTATATGTAACTAAAATTCATACAACTCACTCCTAAGATGTGGGAAATGAAATTTAATTAATAACTAAACTTCAACAGTGAAATCAGTACTGTAAACAAGTATTCCAAAGGTGACATGAGAAACAAGATGGAATGGAATAAATACTATAACTAGACTTTCCCTCTCCTATGTGCTGAGTTTAATGTTAGGAAACTAAAGTTGAATTTTGATCAACACATGGGGAAGAAAAAAATTAGTACTTGAAATAGACTGGCCCATTGATCTAAATTTTAAAAACAACACATTAAAAGTTAAATGCTGGGGCCAGCAGGTGGCGTGGTAGTTAAGACCACTGGACTCCCACATGGCCAACCATGGTTCGAGTCCTAGACCTGGCGGCTTGCTTTCTTCCATTCCCTCTCTCCCTCTCTCTCTGATTCTTTTCTTCTCTGGCCAAATTAAAATAAATAAGTGAAATTAAATAAAACAATTCTTAAAAAAAAAAAGTTAAATGCTATGATTTTGGTGTTCACTTGGGGCCAATACTGAATATGCTCTCTCTATATATAATTATCCAATTAAAACTCAAAATATTTTTATTTTCATGGAGTAGGATCTACCAAAAATAATCTGTAACCTTCCATACATCCAAAGAATAAGGTATGAAGTCTTAGAATAAAGGAATCATTTATAAATGGTTGATTTAACAGGACACAGTGCATTTTGATACAAATGATGTTGGAGAACACAAGTTGGGAGTCAAACAGACATAGATGCCAAAACAGACAAGATATATTTGGAGAATAGCAACCTATCCAAGTGAGCTGAATGTAATCTCCATTCCAAAACAAATACATAAAAACTACAACAACAAAAACTAGCCCCTCTCTAAGGTCATTATACTGTGGTTACAGTCAACATTTCACAGCACATAATTCAAGTGAAAATGGATGGCAGGCAGGTATGAGCTACATGTTTTTGTTGTTGTTAAGAATTATTTATTTTCAGGACCAGCAGCTGGCGTAATGGCTATGTCACTGGACTTCAATGTAGTTGACTGTGGTTTGAGTCCTGAACCGGGTGGCTTAAACTCACACCAGGCGCACATGTGCGTGCGTGCCCATGATCCCAGGAGGAGAATGGAGGAGGAGAAGGGATTGTGGCATGGCCATCCCCCAGGGGGATGATTTCTCACTTTCTGTCTTCTGTTTCTCTCTGTCTTTCTGGCGAATGCACGTACCCTATAGTAAAAACCTCTAAAAAATATATATATATTTTATTTTATTTATTTGTTTTTGGGTTTTGTTTTTGTTTTTGTTTTTAATTTGACCAGAGAAAAACAAGCAAAGAGAAAATGGGAGAGATACTAAGTCCAGGACTCGAACTATGGTTAGCCATGTGGGAGTCTGGAGCCTTAACCACTACACTACTTAAGGGCCCTGAGCTACATGTTTTCATTTGTTCCTCTTGCCTCTCATATCCCAAAGAGGCAATGTGGACAGGCCTATGTGGATGGTGAACATGCAAAGGGAATGTATCCAGTTGAAGAACCTCAAATTTTGGAAATCTGCCATCCTCTGCCACCATCAGGAGAAGGAAAGATCATTATCTGTACTTTCGATAGCAAACAAATCTGCCCACTGCCTTGGATAGAGATGCAACTTCACCTTTAAAGATTGTATCCCATAGAAATACTCTTGATAAGATAGTGCAGAAGAGACACTGGCAAAGTCTTTGTTAAGACATGCAGAAATGCAAGAGACCCAAAAAGAAATGTCTTCTACCATATTAAATATTCTTTATGCTACTATTTATACTATCACATATTTTATGCTATTACCTAGTCAAGTCACTCATTTTGACTTTAATAAAAAGCAAAAAAAAAGATTATAGACATTTCAGTTTTTCTATTGAAAAGTTAAGTAGCTGTCTGGCTATTACACTAATGTTTCCATAGGAATTTTATTTTATTTTTTAAAAAAAGCCTTAATATGACATGCAATGAGTAAAAATTTGGCTTTAACAAAACATTAAGCTAATGAGAAATGATATCTTCAAAGTTTCCTACCAGCAGTACCATATACGATGTATCTTACATTTACAAAGCGTAAATCTTTGTCAAGTCAAAGGTAAAGAATTAAATTTATTAACCAAATATTAATCTTCTTCATGTAAACAAACACTTGAACACTTATTCCTCTTGGTACAGTGTGGGACACAAATTCCTGGCAACATTCAAAAATTTAAATTTGGCAAAAATGTGTTTTCCTGGGGCTGGCAGATGGCACAGTGGTTAAGGGCGTTGTACCCCCACATGGCCAACCGCCTTTCAGGTCCTGAACCTGGTGGATTGCCTTCTCACTCACTCTCTTTCTGTGTCTCTCTGTCCCTCTCTGGTCAAATTAAAATTAAAAAATTAAATTAAATTAAATAATTCTTTTTTAAAAAAGTGTTTTCCTATATAATTATTCACTGTAACTTTTTTTTTCCTATTTTTTTTTTTTTTTTGGAGAGGTTTTCGCTATAGGGCATGTGCGCTCGCCAGACAGAGAGAGATATAGAGACAGAAAGCGAGAACTCACCCCCCAGGGGGGATGGTCATGCTGCAATCCCTTCTCCTCCATTCTCCTCTCGAGATCTTGGGCACACGCGCACACGCGCCTGGCATGAGTTTTAAGCCACCAGGTCCGGGACACGAAACGCGGTCAACTACTTGGAAATCCAGTGACATAGCCATTATGCTAACTGCTGGTTCCCACTATAAAATATTGTAGTTGGCATAAAAATAGAAATTTTTAAACTGACAATATGTTTCTAATATAACCACCAAAAGCAATCAAACAAAAAAAAGGAAAAACAGTTTTAAATTCTTTTTTTGTAGAAGGAGGGCATGGACTGCTGCATCTTAAAAACATTTATTCTGAGCATCGAAAATTGGAGGACAAAAGTGAAAGGAAGTTATGTGACATACCTCTCCCAGAGCCTCGTATCTTTTCTGGTTCCATCTGTGTAAGTCTTCCCGATAGTTAAAAACAAACGGCTCCCCAGTTTTTATGTGTCTTAATTGCCCCTCTAGAAGATAAACAAGCAATAATGGTATGACTTAAAGTGCATTTACAATATGTACAGTACAACAAATAATGTCTTATTAAAATGAACTTTCTCAGAACAATTTATTTTTAACTACATTTTTTCTTCAAACATCAGTATGATGCAAATATATGAACAGTATAACAGAATGTTCCCCCAAGTACTCAAAAACTAATCTTCTTGATCTTCATGTCTCTAATACAAACCAGATTTATATTTGAGGCCCCACTGTGTGTAAGACTGTCTACTAGCTCTTGCCAGGAACACTATCCTAATACTAAAGAAGCTTAGAAGCTAACTAGGAAATAAAAGCATATTAAAAATCAAGCAACTTTTAGGGAAGTTAAACAAATAAGAATAAAGTTGGCAGTCTGCCACAGTTGATTCATGTAGATAATAAAATCCAGAATGACTTTAGAAAACAATGAAATTCTATGGGCTAGAATAGGTTCAGAAGGTCCCAGTGAGATTTTTCAACTAGACCTTGAAATATAAATAGGATATCATATGGAAATTAGAGAGAGGTGGTGAGCAAACACAGGTTTGGATTGTCAAATCAGACTCATTCAAGAGACTTTTACCGACAATGACTAAGTTTTACTCATAATTCGGAGAGTGCCAACAAGTCGTAAGCACAGGCAAAACAAAGAGGGGCACAGGACATCCCAGCCTTTCTCCCCAGGTCCCTTCCTTTCATTGAATAGCACTTTCTGGCCCAGAGTAAGCGAGGTCTCTAGTGAAGCACATAGGTCACCTTACATATTGGCATGCATTTTGGTTATAAATTATTTCCATTTTACGTGTCAAAAGTTATTTGGCTTGCATGATATTCTTCAGAGAAACATGCCTCACATTTCTATAGGCTTGCTATAGCAATGCTAAACCAGTTGTTCTGTTCAAAATTTAAATCCATTAAAAAAGACTCTCCTTATAGTAAATATTAGTCTGTATTTCCTAAAATTTTAATTATCAACACCTCTACCAATAGGAAAAACCAGGTCACCTGTCCACTTTCTTTTCCCAGAATTATTTCTCCAATAAGCAAAAGAGAAATAGAACACCAACCAATTGCTTTAACCTCTATTCCCTTACTGGCAACAAAATATTACTACCTATACATAGGCTGGCATAAGATATCCTTAAAAAAGTAAAAAAAAAAAAAAAAAAGAAAAAGAAAAAGAAAGCATTGAAACTATCAGAAAAAATATCTAAGTTTCTAATATCTTCTCTTTGAATTCAGTTAGCATCTAATACACGGAGACAGTCACTCCACGTCCTAACATCTATTACTGAAATTGTAAAGGGGTATCCACTAATACAATGACAGATCACAAATTCAGCTGATTCAGAACAACAAACAGAAAACTGAATCTCAAGGGGCAGCAAGTGGGGTGGTGGTTAAGGTGTTGAGTTCCCACATGGCCAATTATGGTTCAAGTTTCAGACCTGGTGGCTGAAATCACACTAGGCACTTGTTTGTGCATGCTCAAAATCCCAGAAGAAGAACAGAGAAGAAGGGATTGTTGCATGGCCATTCCCTGGGGTGGGGGTAGGGGGAGTGATTTCTTACTTTCCCACCATCTCTCTTTGTTTCCAGCAAGTACAAATGTCCTATGGCAAAGACAAAGAAAGGAAGGAAGGAAGGAAAGAGAAAGAAAGGAGAAAGAAAGAAAGAGAGAGAGAGAGAGAGAGAGAGAGAGAGAGAGAGAGAGAGAGAGAGAGAGAGAGAGAGAGAGAGAGAGAGAGAGAGAGAGAGAGAGAGAGAGAGAGAGAGAAAGAAAGAAAGAAGAAAGAAAGAAAGAAAAAGAAAAGAAGGAGGAAGGGAGGGAGGGAGGGAAGAAGGGAAAGAAAGAAAGAAAGAAAGAAAGAAAGAAAGAAAGAAAGAAAGAAAGAAAGAAAGAAAGAAAGAAAGAGAAAGAGAGAGAGAGAGAGAGAGAAAGAAAGAGAGAGAGAAAAGAAGAAAAAAGAAAGAAGGAAGAAAGGAAACATCAATTCAAATGCTACCTACACTGCAAAAATATTACCCTTTGAGTAAAACAATGTATTATTAATCCAATGAATCATGATTCTTTGTTCCAGAAGTGTCCTTATAAATTCTTCCACATCCCAAGTACAAAGGTTATTTTATTCAGAACTTAATAAATTTTAAAACAAGGTTATTGCCTGAAAAAATCATGGGAAATTGAGTATTATGTTTTAACATATTGTCACAGATAATTATTGCCAGTCACTTCATTTTAAATAACATGTGAAACAGTAGTACCTTTCTATATAATTTAATTAAGAGTTCCAAATGGATAACAAGGGGTTGAATGCTCAAGGCTGAAATACATAAGCTGAATCAAATTCATGTCCTCTAGTTTACATGACTTGACAACTATGGGAAATTGTTACTTGATTCTTTTACTTGAGTGAAGGATTTTACCATGCAAGGTTAAGTCATTATTTCTCAAAAGAAATACATAAAACATTCTAGCTGGCCTTTACAAGTGGCAAACAGTATCTGTTCTATGATTCTATTAGCATTGTTAAGTAAATTCTGCATACAGAATATACCACTTACTTTCATTAAAAGCATATTCAAATCCTTCCAGGGTATCAGGAAAATCGAGAGGTGGTTCATCTTTTTTCATTAGTTCATCCAAGTCTATCCTAGATAACAAATCTAGAAAAGAAATGACATGAAAATGATTTACATTTATTTTTACAGTTAACAACAAAGACTACATCTTAAATAATTTGTATGTATTCTTTTGTTTTATTAGATTAATTTTTATGTGTTGGTTTAACTAGTAATGGAAGTATATTTTTAAGTTCCCAAAATGCTGTATAGGCTGAGCATTCCTAATCTAAACATCTGAAATACAAAATGCTCCAAAATCTGAAACTTTGTTGAGTGTCAATATGATGCCACAAGTGGAAAATTCCACAACTGACCTCATGTGATAGATTGTAGTCGAAATTTGGCAGTACAAAAATACTGTAGAAAATTACCTTCAAGCGATGTATATGAGATATATATGAAACATGAATAAATGTTGTTTAGACTTCAGTCCTATCATTATTGCATAAAAACACAGAAAGATACATCTAGACTTTTATGACAACCTAATACATGTAAATATTCCAATATCCAAAATATTCCTGGTCCCAAGCCTTTTGAACAATGGATACTCAACATAGATTATGATCAAACATAAAGACACATAATATAAACACTTTCAAAACCAGGTCTTAAAACAATCACAAAGATCTTATTAAATTATTAACTTCATCCCTTAAAAATAGCTATTAATTTTTAACTTTTAACCTCTTTCTACAGTGTAAAAACTTCAGACATTACTATGACTTTTAAGGTGTCATTAGATCTTACATATAAATGAAACTATTATTTTCAAGTGAGGGAAGTTATTTTAAGTCTTAATAGTGGTAATATAGCATATTTGTCCATTCTTAGGGGGAAAAACATTAAAATAAAACATTCTAACTGGAGAAAATTGTTGACACAAGCAATTTCTTTTTAAAATTTTTCTCCTCTCTCTCTCTTTTTTTGGCCATAGGACACTTGTGCTTGCTGAAGACAGAGCTAGACAGGGAGATGGAAAGAGAGAAATCACTCCCAATGAGGATGGCCATGCCACAATCTCTTCTCCTCCACTCTCCTCTCAGAAATTTGAGCATGCACAGACACTCAAATGGCATGTTTTTCAAGCCACTAGGGACAGTTGGCCATGTGGGATCCAGCGCCTTAACTACCATGTCACCTACTGACCCAATTTCTACTCTTTACATTATGATTCCAAGAAATTAAAAAAAAAAATCTATTAGTGAGTTGTTTCTTTTAAAATAAGCATTTTATTTTCAGAATACTTTCAGATTTGTGGACAACCTAAAAGACAATACAAAGAGTGCCAGTTACCCCTGACCCAGGGTTCCCTACTGTTAACGTTTCACATCACCATGGTACACTGGTTGAAATAAAGAAACCAATGTTGGAACATTATCACTAACTACTGTCTGATACTGTTCATATTTTACCAGTTTTTGCACTAATTTTCTTTTTCTGATCCAGGATTCCATCCAGGATACAACACTGCATTTCTCCCCAATCTCCCCTGACTTGTGGCAGCTTCCAGTCTTTCCTCCTTTTCCACGAACTACACAGTTTTAAGGAATATTCACTGGGAATTTTATAGAATGATCCTGAATTTGGATTTGTTTGATGGTTTTTTCCCTGTGATTACATTAGGGTTATAAGTATTTGGAAAGAATACCACAGAGGTGAACTTTCATTCCAGTCACCTCATGTCTAGTAGAAAATGATATTCACAGGCTATCTCAGATGTTTCTTTTCTCTTCTTCCTTTTTATTTTTATTTTTTTTTTTAAAAAGAGAGAGATTTTTGGTATAGGGCACATATGCTTGCCAGAGAGACAGAAAGTGAGAAATTGCCCCCTAGGTGGGATGGCCATGCTGCAATCCTTTCTCCTCCTTTCTCTTCACAGGACTTTGAGCATACATGCACACATGTGCCCAGTGTGAGTTTTAAGTCACTGGGTCTGGGACTTAAATTGTGGTCAACTATGTGGGAGTCCAGCAACGTAACCATTGTGCCATCTTCTGGTCCCAGTCACAGATGTTAACCTTCATCACTTGGTTAAGGAAGGGTGTGCCAGTCTTCTCCACTATACAATTGCTATTTGTACCTTTCAGCAATCTATTCTTTTTAAAGAGGTTTCTTTTCTTTTCTTTTCCTTTTTTTTTTTTTTTCTTGCTGTAGGGTACATGCACTCACCAGAGAGACAGAAAGCGAGAAATCACTCCCCAGAGGGTATGGCCAAGCTGCCAGCCTCCTCGTCAACTCTCCTCTGGGGATTTTGGGCATATACATACACACATGCTCCAGGCATGAGTTTCAAGCCACCAGGTCCTGGACTTGAATCGTGGTAGACCATGTGGGAGTCCAGGGATCCTTATGCCACCTCATGGTCCCTCCATCATCTATTTTTTGGAAATGAGTCTGGTCTCCTCTCTGGAGGAGAGGAACCACATTCTACCTTCTGAAGGAAAGAACACCATGTATACATGGCATGGCTCCTCGATGCAGCAGCAATGTGCTTCTTGAGAGTAGCTGGATCTCACATGGCAACCACAGTTCAAATACCTGACCTGGTCAGTCTGAAACATGATGGATAATGTGTAACTGCCCAAGATCGAAAGGGCTAGAGGATTAGAAAAAGGGGAATGTGGTATAACCAGACACTGTGGAGGATGCTCCAATCCCCAACCCTCATATGCATAAGCACTCACTGATAAGGAATAAAGAAAATGTATTATACATGAATATACATAGTAAGTTTATTTTTAATAACCCAAACTGAAAACAACCCTAATGTCCTTCAATGAGTCAATGGCTAAACTGACTGATTAAATCCAAACAATGGAATATTACTCAGCACTGAAAGGAATACACTACTGATACTTGAAACAGCTTATATGGATTTCAATGGTACTATGTTTATTGAGAAAAGTCAATCTCAAAAGGTTCTCAAAAGCTCTATCATTTCCGTTACATAACACCTATTAAATGACCACACTACAGGAATGAGGAAGAGATTAGTGATTGCCCAGGGACAGGGATTGAGTTGGGTGGTGGGGGCACATGACCATAAAAGACCCAGAAGGGACTTTGTGGTGGTAGAACACTTTTATATCTTGATTGTCCTCACAGTTAAACAAAGGAATACATAACATCAAAATGTACAGAAGTAAATACACACATAATGATGACACATGACCTGGTAAAACTTGAAAAGGACTGTTCTTTAGTTCACAGTATTATATGAATATAAATATCTTGGTTTTGATAGTACTACAGCCATACAAAGTGTTACCAATCGAAGAATCTAGATAAAGGGTTCACAGGACTCTATGTACTATTTTTACAAATTCCTTTCAGTATATAATTATTCAAAAGTAAAACATAAAAACAAAAATGGTAGTGGAATGTTTCAACAAAAATAACTTAACATGATAGTTTTAACATTTGAAGAATAAAATATATGACCACAAAGCATGAAGAAAAGGAAGATGGGAAAAATTACATCGCAGGGAGGTTCTTAAAAATATATGTGAAGTAGTAGTATATTATTTGAAAGTAGACTGATTCATTAAAAATGGAGACTGTATACCCTAGGAAAAACAAACAAACAAAAAAAGGTACAAAACAAACAGAAATAGTTAACAGGCAAATTTTGGAGAGAAAATTTTTAAGTCTTAAAAAAAATGTTGTCAAACTCATTTATAGCATATAACACGAAAAGTGAACCCTATTACGTGATAGATTTTATGTAACAATAATATATTAATAGTGGTTCACCAATGGTAACAAATGTACAGCACTAATGCAAGGTGTAAATAATATGGGAAACTGAGTATGGTGGAGAGGTTGTATACACTACTCTACTCTTTGTGATAGTTCATTTTATTGTTAGGCTCCGATACCCAGTTATTTGGTCAAACATCATAGCTGTAGATATTTTTCAGATATGATTAAGATTTATATCAGTAAATTTTGATTGAAGTGGATTACCCTCTAAATTATAAATGGGCTTCATCCAATCAACTGAAGGCCTTAGCTGCAAAAACTGAAGTCTTCTGCAGAAGAAGGAATTCTCCTTAAGAGTGCAACATACAAATCCAATCTGAGTTTCCAGGCTCCAGCCTGCCCTCCAGATTTTGGAATTGTCAGATCTCCTCCCAGGGTTGCTTGGTCTAAAACCTAAAGTCAATCCCTCTCTCTCTGTCCGTGTGCTCGTGCATGTGACAGAGAGAAAGAGACAGAGAGAATATGTATACGTGTGTGAACATATGTGTATATATACATTCACACATATATCTATGTATATATGTATGTATGTATATATGTCTGTGTCTATATATGTGTTCATGTCTGTATATGTATCTGATTGTTTTTGTTTACCTGGAGAATCCCTAATGCACTAATTAATCTTTCTATAAGCCTAAAACTGGTCTTAAAAAAAAGCTCTGCTAATTAAAGAAGGAAAACTAATCAAAAAATGTTAAACAGAATGACAAAGAGTACAAACAAAACAGATACCAAGATGAACAAATTAAACTTAACAATATAGGTAATTACAAAAATATAAATGATCTAAATACTACAATTAAAGCCAGTTTTGCTAAAAAAGTAAGACTCATTTATATGGTAGGTACAATATAAAGATACAATAGGAAAACACAGAAAAGCTAAAGCAAAAGGATTTTAAAAGACAAAATGCAAACATTATTCAAAATTAAAATTGAAATAGCAATATTAATATCAGAAAGCATACACTTCAGAAAAAAATTAACATATCAGGAAAAAGAGGAGACTGTCATAATGATAAAAGAGTCAATTCATCAAGAGGACATAATAGTCCTAAATGTGTGTGTGTACCAAATATAAGTGATTAAGAAAATTGAAAGAACTGAAACAAGTAAAAGGAAAATTAAATAAGACCACTATTATAACTGGAAATTTCAGTACTTTCTTCATAATAATTAATAGAGCAAGAATATAGAAACTAGATAAGGATATAGAATACTTGAAAAACTCTGAACTCAACATAATTGACATTTGTCAATACATAATATTCCACCAAA